GAAACTCCGTCTCAAAAAAAAAAGATAGCTAATTTTCCAGAAAAAAAGAACAAATCCACAGATATGAAAGGAAAATATATACAAAGCTGGATAAAAAAAAAAAAAAAAAAAAAAAATTGCTAAACATCAAAGACCAAAAAAAAAAAAAATAAATTAAAAAGCAGCCAGGGGTCTAAGGACCTACAAAGGAACAATTAGACCGAGAGTTGACCCATGACCCCTAAACAAAAATAGGAGCCAGAAGACATGGCAGCATAGCCCAAGTGCAAGAAAATAGCTGTCAACCCATAACTGTGTACCCAGCATCCAAAATCATAAATTATATATTTTTCTCAAACACAGAAGGTACATGTGCAAAACCTGACCACATAGATCTTAAAGTCTCAACAAATTTCAAATAATCACCACCTGTTTTGATTACAATGCAAATAGACATTTAAAAAAGAGGGGCAGCGAGCGTGGAGCCAGGCGCTTCAGAGCCGACCCCAAGGCTCTGCGGCACTCAGTCGGACCCAGTCACCCAGGCACCGCCCATGCCCCGTGGCTGGCCGCCATAGTCTCCTGGGCCGCCCAGAGGAGCCAGCTCCATGCATCCCCCGAGGAGGCCACTCCTAGGGGTCAGGAGCGGGGAGGCGAAGTGCGAGAGACCCAGGACCCCAGCACAGCCTCTTCCCACCGCCCGAACCACCATAAACCTGAACACTTCAACAAGGGCCCTTCCTACAGATTCTCGGCTGAGGTCAAGAACAAGATTGCTTCCAAGTATGATCATTAGGCAGAAGATCTTCGCAATTATAGAAGAGGTGACAGGCATGAGCACTGGCACCAACTTCCAGCTGGGCTTAAAGGATCGCATCATACTCTGCAAACTCATAAACAAGCTACAGCCAGGCTCAGTGAAGAAGGTCAACGAGTCCTCATTGAACTGGCCTCAGCTGGAGAATACTGGCAACTTTATTAAAGCTATTCAGGCTTACGGAACGAAGCCACATGACATATTTGAAGCAAATGATCTTTTTGAGTATGGAAACATGACCCAGGTTCAGAGACTCTAGTGACTGTGGCAGGTCTGGCTAAAACAAAAGGATTCCATACAACCACTGACATTGGAGTTAAGTATGCAGAAAAACAAACAAGATGTTTTGATGAAGGAAAATTAAAAGCTGCAAAGTGTAATTAGTCTGCAGATGGAAACCAACAAATGTGCCAGCCAGGAAGGTATGACAGCTTATGGGACTAGGAGGCATCTTTATGATCCCAAAATGCAAACTGACAAACCTTTTGACCAAACCGCAATAAGTCTGCAGACAGGCACTAACAAAGAAGCCAGCCCCGCAAGGATGTCTGGTACTCATCAGGTACCAGAAGAGACATGTATGATCAGAAGCCAACATTACAGCCAGTGGACAACTCGACAATTTCTCTACAGATGGGTACCAACAAAGTTGCTTCCCAGAGAGGAATGAGTGTGTTATGGGCTTGGGCAGCAAGTATATGATTCCAAATACTGTGCTGCTCCAACAGAACCTGTCATTCACAACGGAAGCCAAGGAACAGGAACAAATGGTTCAGTAATCAGTGATAGTGATTACCAGGCAGAATACCCTGATGAGTATCATGGCAAGTACCAGGATGACTATCCCAGAGATTACCCATATAGCAACCAAGGCATTCATAATTAGATTCACACAGAAGGAGCTCAGTATTTAGTCTATTGTTTTTATTCAGTGAGGACCAAGCTAGCCTTGAGTAATTTTTATCTTGTCTTCCTAAAACACTATTAGGCTTATTATATTTTTAAGAAAAATTGACTTACATACATTCCTTTTTCTGCCTCTTCCCTCAATAGTTGCCTTTTAGTGCCATAGCAGTTAAATCCTACAGCATAACCAGTAACTTGCATATGAAGTAAAAAGGAATACTGTGAAAGGAGAATACTCTTGTACAGCCAGTTCTTTTATGCAAAAATCTATGCATTTTTACAATCTTACATTAAACTGGTATTTTCAAACAATAGGAAACTTTTTTTTTTTTTTTTTTTTTTTTACAGATTAGTGTATCTGGTTTCTACATGGAAGACTAAACTCATGCCTATTGCTAAATGTGGTCTTTGCCAACTAAATCTAAGATGCAGCATTTTAGAAATTTACATATCAATGTTTCTACAGTATTGTTTGCTAATTTTTAAATAAAGTCATGATCAGTGTGCATCTGTGATTATATGTGTACTCATTCTCCTACCTAGTGCACAAGATATTTTCAGAGTGGTATTTCTAAAGCAGCATGTACAAAAATGGCCTGTAGACATTTAGGTCTGGGTGTGCATTTGCTATTCCTGTTTGTGCCAATGTATCAATGTAGAGTTGCTGTGTTTTCTTCAACTGTATTTATTGCTGCATTTCTCAGCAAAACTTATCCCACTGTATTTTTTATAAATGTTTTTTTGAACATAAAAAAAAAATATCCCTATATTTCCCTATACATGTACCTCTACATCATGTATCAAAGTAAAAAAAAAAATGGAAACTAAAAAAATTTCTTAGAACTGAGTAATGAAAATACTGCACATTAAAACGTGAAATGCAACTAAAGCAGTACTTACAACTAAGCATTTAGTGACCATTTTTCTGACTTAAGACAGAAATAGCAAAATAAATCTCAAAAAAGTAAAAGTTGGCAAAGCTTGGTGACTCACTCCGCTAATCCCAGCACTGTGGGAGGCCAAGGCAGGCAGATCACTTGAGCCCAGGAATTCGAGACCAGCCTAGGCAACATGATGAAACACTATCTCTACTAAAAACACAAAAATTAGCTGGGTGTCATGGCACATTGCCTGTAATCCCGGCTACTCGGGAGGCTGGGGCAGGAGAATCACTTGAACTCAGGAGGCAGAGGTTGCAGTGAGCTGAGGTTGTGCTATTGCACTCCAGCCTGAGGGACAAGAGCGAAGCTTTGTCTCAAAAAACCAAACCAAAACAAAAAATACAGAAATGGTATAAGAAAGGAAAATTGGAAGTCAATCTCATTCACCATCACAGATTCAAAACTCCTAAACAAAAGCCAAATCCCACAATTTACTTTAAAAGCTGTGGTGGAGGCAGGGGAGTAGTTTCTATACAAGCAATGCAGGGGTAGTTTAATATTGGAAAACTAAGGCCAGACACAGTGGCTCACGCCTGTAATCCCAGCACTGTGGGAGGCCAAGGTGGGCGGATCACCTGAAGTCGGGAATTCGAGACCAGCCTGACCAACACGGTAAAACCTGGTCTCTACTAAAAATTTGCCAGGCGTCGTCGCACATGTCTGTAATCCCAGCTACTCAGAAGGCCGAGGCCAGAGAATCGCTTGAACACAGGAGTTAGAGATTACAGTGAGCCAATTGTGCCATTGCACTCCAGCCTGGGCAACAAGAATGAAACTCTATCTTAAAAAATATATATTGGAAAACTATAAATGTAACTCACCTTAGTAAGTCTACAGAATAAATACCATGTGTGATGGTTAATTTTTCTTTTTTTTTTTTTTGAGATAGAGTCTCGCTCTGACACCAGGCTGGAGTGCAGTGGCGCAATCGTGGCCCAATCTTGGCTCACTGCGACCTCTGCCTCCTGGTTCAAGTGATTCTTCTGCCTCAGCCTCCCGACTAGCTGGGACTACAAGCATGCACAACCATGCCTGGGTAATTTTTTTTTTTTTTAGTAGGGACGAGGTTTCACTATGTTGGTCAAGATGGTCTCGCTCTCTTGACCTCATGACCCACCCACCTCGGCCTCCCAAAGTGCTGGGATTATAGGCGTTAGCCACTGCGCCCAGCTATGATGGTTAATTTATGTCAACTTGAATGCCCAGGTATTTGATCAAATATTTTTCTGCACGTTCCTGTTATTTTTGGATGAGTTTACAATCAATAGACTGAGTAAAGCAGGGTGCCCTCCCTATTGTAGACTGGCCATATCCAATGAGCAGAAGGCCTAAATAGAACAAAAGGCAAACTCTAACCCACAAAAGAAGAGAATTCCTCCTGTCTGCCTTCCAAGTTGGGATGTCAACTGTTTCCTGCCTTCTGAAACACTGGCTCTTCCTGAGTCTTGACCTGCCAGCCTTAGAACTCATACCATTAGCAGTCCTGGTTCTGGCACCTGCATACTCAGACTGAAACTATACCGTTGGCTCTCCTGGGGCTCCAGCTTCTAACACAGATACGATCTTGGGACATGTCAGCCTCCATAAATGTGTGAGCCAATTCTTTACAATAAATCTCTTTTTACATACCACCCCCGCCATACACTAATGGTTCTGTTTCTCTGCAGAACCCTAAAACACTTGATAAATCCAAGTGTGACCAGCTTGATAAATCCCACCCCCAACCCAAAACAAAAACGATCTGTTAAAATTCAAAATCCATTCATGGTTAAAAAAAAAGCGGCAAAGTTTAAAACATTAAAAACTACTGTAGACTTTCTACTTAATGGTAAACTGTAATAAAGATTTTTTTCTTTAAATCAAGAAGGCAAGAATTACCACAATCACCATTTTTATTCAGCTTCTTACTACAAATCCTAGACTGCACATTAACATGGGAAAAAAATAATATATAGTAGTTTCTTCCTATCTGCAGAGGACATGTTCCAAGACCCCCAGTGAATATCTGAAACAACAGATAGTTACAAACCCTATATATGCTTTTTCCTATATATCCACATAACTATAATAAAGTTTAAATTTTAAATTATGCATACGAAGAGATTAACAACAATAATTAATAATAAAATAGAACAGGCTGGGAGTGGTGGCTCATGACTATAATACCAGCACTTTGGGAGGTCAAGGCATGAGGACTGCTTGATGCCAAGAATTTGAAACCAGCCTGGGCAACATAGTAAGACCCCATTCTCTATTAAAAATTTTAAAAATCAGATAAATTTTTAAAACTAGCTGGGCATGGTAGTACACACCTATAGCCCCAGTTACTCAGGAGGCTGAAGTGGGAAAATCACTTAAGACTAGGAGTTCAAGGTTGCAGTGAGTTCTGATCATATCATACCACTGTACTCCAGCTTGGGCAACAGAGTGAAACCCTGTCCCCCTATCAAAAAAATAGAATAACTAACAATATATTATAATAAGAGTTATGTAATGTAGTCTCTCTCTCAAAATCTTATTGTACTGTACTCACCCTTCTTATAATGACGTTGAGATGATAAAATGCCTACATGATGAGATGGAAGTGAGGCTGATGACACTGGCATTGTGATGCAGCAGTAGGCTACTACTGAAAACTAATTTAAAACTTATGAATTATTTCTGGAATTTTCCATTTACTATTTTCAGACAACAGCTGACCACAGGTAACTGAAACTACAGAAAGCAAAACCAAGGATAACGGGGGACTACTATAAAGACTAGAGGAAAACTATAAAACCAATATTCCGGCTGGGCGCAATGGCTCACGCCTATAATCCTAGCACTTTGGGAGGCTGAGGCAGGTGCATCACGAGGTCAAGAGATCAAGACCATCCTGGTCAACATGGTGAAACCCTGTCTCTACTAAA